TTTTTTTTTTTTTTTTTTTTTTTTTTTTTTTTTTTTTTTTTTTTTTTTTTTTTTAGATTTGGAGCTACATCCGAAAAAATGTACATTAATTTTTTTTAAACATTTTTTTTATAAATCGTGATGAATATAATTCATCACTGTTATTAGACAATATAATTCTAGATTGACGTTAAATCTTATTTATTATCGTTGTACAATTTTTCCTTTTTTCATGTAAGTAAATTTTGTAACTTTACGTATGCTACTTTCTTACACTTATTCGATATTTTGATTATTCTATTTAAAATGTATGTCAAAAAGTTTTTTTGGCACTATTTACTTAGTGTAAACTGAAATTAATATGTATTATAATCTAAAAAATTTATAATGGACGAAATTATACACAAATCAAATGGTAACTGCATTGAAAAGTATTTGTAATAAAAATGGTATGCTAACAACTAAACAATAACAAATAGTTGCTTGCTACATATTCTAACAACGTTTTCAGCAAACTACATAACAAAATTAAGATTTTATACATACAAAAAGTTATGTAATTGCATGCTCTAAATAAAAAATGTATTGATAAAGAAGTGACAATGCCTAGGAAAGTATACGATAGACCTCTATTAGTCACAGCACTTTTACGTTTGTCTTGATAAGCTTTGTCTCGTAGTATGGTTTTTCAGAAAAATTTTCGGAACACGCAGTATACATGCAAGTATATAGATGGGAAAAGATATACGATGCAGCCTTGCGAATCAGTGTCTATATATACGAGTGAGTCACCACGCTCCCGACAACAGTTTCCTCAAAGTCAGTCTCGGAAAGTGCTCTGACGTGAACGCACGAGTACATCATTGATTTTTATTTTAACATGAGAGTGTTAATGAGTATTTTAACTAATTAAAAATTAACAAGGGAAATTTTTTTAAGTTAAGGGAAATTATTTTAAGTGTAAAGACGTTGATTAGTTTAATTCATCACATACAAAATACTATTTAAATAGGACTATACTCATTTTAACAATGGAAATGACACTAGTTGTGGTGATTTTTGCATCGTTTTTAAGTTTATTTTCAAGTAGTGTGGAAAGCTCGGACATAAACTGTCCAGACCTTAAAAAAATACCACTTATAGGTTCAGTTTTAGTTATGAGTTCTGGAACGAACCGTAATTTGCAAGTGAGTTTTTATCTCTCCACCAAAAAAAATAGTGAGCCGGTGGAATTAGCTTTCACAGATTGGACAGGTTTGCAAAACCTAGAACTTTCTAAAAAGACAATCATCATCATTCATGGCTATAAATCTGGTGGAAGAAAACGTTGGGTACTGCAACTGAAAGATAAACTTCTTGATTTTGTAAGGAAAAAAAAGTTGTATACTAAATTCAAGTAGGATTTAAAAAAATAATTTTAAACAATCTCTGATATTGTTTGATAATAATGTATTTTACAATAAAGACAAACCACTCGTACTGTTAAATACACTTAAGGTACTCAAAGCGTCATGAAAAAATTCTATAAAAGTGTTATAGATCAGTTGTAAAAATTAATGAAAAATTTTTTTTTCACGTACAAAAAAAAATTTTATTTTGTTTCCAAAAATACATAAACACGAGATTTTTTAAATGATGTGACTTAAAGGACACTATAAAAATCATGTATATACCATTCCTGATGTAGCAAATTCGTTTCAGCAAAACGCTAATGTTATATTAGTTGACTGGAGTCAAGGCAGTTACAGCAAAAATTACGTTAGTGCGGCTAAAAATACTGAAATAGTTTCTAATAGGCTACTCAAGTAAGAATAATACTTATTTAAAAGAAAAATTTTTTCATGAGTATAATTTTGAATAAATCAAAACTCACGATACTTATATGTATTATTGTTTACATACTTAAAATAAATCTAATTTTTCGAAAAGAAAAAAAAACTTACAAAAATGTTCTTTCAAGATTGTAGACATGTAAACGGAATACATATAAAATTGCAAGTTTATTTAACTAGATGTATTTGCTTATTAACAGAGTTGTTTTCGATTTCAACAATTATTAATTTTTTACACAGTTTCAACCTAATTAATTTTCTGAATCACTTTTTTTAAAGAAATAAAACGTATAATGTATTTTACGTATAGTTTTCTTCAGTCGGCAAAGGCACAAGTTGAAGTTTCTAACTACACGTCCATGGAAATTTCGTGGAATCATTTACATTTTATTGGACATAGTCTTGGAGCCCAAATAAGTGGCCAAACTGCTCATTTACTAAAAGACGATCCATTTTGGAAAGTCGAACGGATCACTGGCTTAGATCCAGCAAAGCCTTGCTTCAAAGAGCTTGGAACATTTTTAAGGCTTGATAAAGAGGATGCTACGTTCGTAGATATAATTCATACTCAAGTAGGAACTGGGGGGAAAACTGATGGACTTGGTTTAAAAGAAGATATTGGTAAATATTTTTTGGATTTTTATTTAACTATCTCTGGCTTCAATACAATACAATAATAATAAATCTTTAGGTCATGTCGACTTTTACGTAAATGGAGGAGTTGTTCAACCCGAATGCACAGGATCGTGTAAATATACACATTTCATCAACCTAATTACGTGTTATTCTTAAACCAAGATATTCCTCATGCATGGTATGATTTTTGTTTCTAGCTTTTACTCCAAAATGGAATACGATGATTTGCAGTCATAAGCTTGCCTACAAGTACTTTACTGAATCCATATCTGATGCCATTAATAATACCTGTAAATTTTTGGGTTACCCCTGGAATGGATCGTCTGATGATGCATTGCAAATTTTAAACTCTAAAATAGTGGATTTGCCTTGTCCAGGGTGTCCAGAAATGGGAATAAATGCTGTAAGAAGTAGCCAAAGAGGCAAATTTTTAGTGATAGCAGCTGCAAAAGAACCACATTGCCGTAAGTTAAAGTTAAACGAATACAACAAAAATTTTATTACATTATTTTAAAAGCATTACTTCTATCCTTTAATACTGAATAATTTAAAAACATTCAATATTACAGAATTCACAATTCAAGACGTACAGAGTGTTGCAAAGGTTATAAAGGTAACTCATTTATTTCAATAAGTAGTACCATTAAAAAATTGCTATTGTTTTATTTTTTGAACTAATTTACAGCGATTAAAGGATTAGATATTAACTTTCTAAGTACAGAAAAAACTTCACAATTAAAAGGATGTACGTCACCCATAGTGAACTATTAATTGTACAAAAATCGGAAAATACAGTATTTATTAAATATTATTGTTTTAGAGGCTAAGTATTTTATAAAGTTCAAGTATAAAATTTTATGATTTTGAGTAACAAGTTATTATACCTATACACAAATATATCCTCATTCAAGTGTTAAAGATATAATAAAAGACAAATAATTGGCGCAAAAGGATAAATGGTATATTATGTACCTTAGAAGAAGTCGAGAAACGAAAAAATTTGCATCCTACCTAAGGCGTTTTTCGTGATCTATCTTTTGACGATTGTTGTTAATAACACTTGAAATAATTCGCTATAAAAGATTTTTTTTTCAATTTCAGAGATTTTTCTTCGGCTTGGTAGTACAGAAGAAGGAATCCAAATTACACTGAGAAAAAATTTACTGTTGGTTCAATTTAACATAAACTCATTGATTTTAATTATACATTAAATTTAATTCGACCCTCAAATAATGATTGGACTAACTGATATTCTTGCTTAAAATAATTATTAGTGTTATTTAAATTTATGGTAATATATGAAACACAGAAAAAAAAATTTTTTTTTCAAACTAATCATTTGGAATAAATTAAAAACACTATTTAAGTTACGCAGCATTACGTGTTTTATTAATTATTAATAAGTTTGATAAAATTTTGACTCTAAAACAGTCAAATATTGTACTAAGAATGTATTTGCGAATATTATAAAATCTTTGAGCGCTTATAATGAGCTCAATCTTCGTATAAATAACAGGACATATTCTGCTCTTACATAGTATAAAAAAGTAGTTTGTACCATAGTATATGCAATAATGGGCCACTTTCAAAATACTGTTAATTTTTTAATATTTGCTTTTGTATTATTCTATAGTCAATACAGTATTAAAAATGTAAAATCCTGGGGTTTGGGAGGTATCAAATGCGATTGGTACAAAAAATTAGAAGGGTTTTCAGAAATTTTTAAAGGTCAAGTGGAAGCCCGTTTACTACTGTCCACCAAACATCACATTGAACCGTTTGAAATAAATCGTTCAATTTTAACGAATTCATCAATTTTACGAGAAATTGGTTTCGATAAAGAAAAAAATAGTATTGTAATTATTCATGGCTGGAGATCTAGTACCACGAAAGAATGGGTATCAGCTATGACTAGGAAGCTTCACGTTATAGTAAGTTTATAAATTTAGGAATAGCATATAAAGAACACTAAATACTCTTCAAATTTAGTTACTTATACAAGTTATAAGAGTAATAAAAAAAAAAATAATAATAATAAGAATAATAATAATGATTGTAAAAACAGAAATGATACTAATCATAATAAAAATCTATATTAATATAGAAAGACGTCAACATATTTTTGGTCGATTGGACCAATACTGCTAGCAGTCTTAATTACGTCAAAGTTGCAGAGAATCTCCCTGCTGTAGCCGATATTGTATATGAGTAAGTAAATACAATTGAAACCTATTACTTTGTTACAGTAATAAGTATTAAACTGCTTGAAGACCAGAATTTTTATCCTATGACATTTCTAAAATATGTTTCTTATTACCCTTAGACTTTTTAGAGATGTACAATTTGAAACTTGGAATCGCATTAATACTAAAGGTATTTTATGGAATCACCTATATTTTATTGGCCATAGTCTTGGTGCACATTTGAGTGGACATATTGCACATTTAATGAAACAATCCGGTGACGATTTTTGGAAGATCGAACGAATTACTGGTTTAGATCCAGCTAAGCCATGTTTCGTAGATACTAACACTGAAGATCATTACAAACTTGATAAATCAGATGCTGCTTTCGTCGACGTTATACATTCTAATATTGGCTATAATTCTGATGCCTTCTCTTTAGGTTTGAATAAACCTATAGGTAAGCAAATATGACATGTATTGTATCATTTTTAGATACGATTAATACATGAGGCTGCATTATCGTTTTTTTAGAGCAAAAAGTTAAATTTCTTGTAAAATGAACGTTTAAACGAATGTTTAAATTAAAGAATGTTAGCATTCTACGAATTAAATATAAAAGTTATGGATTTTAAAAAATGTTATATTTTTATACTGTAAATTTATCTTTTTTATGCGTTAAATGACAAAAATTTTAAGAAAATATTTAAAAGAAATCATTTTTAAAATTTATGAAGCCGATCGATTAATTTTAATATGAATTTTGTAAAAATTATTTATCATTTTGCGATTATGCTAAATCGATTATCGTTAAACATTTTAGGGCACATAGATTTCTTCATAGACGGTGGAACTCTTCAGCCAAAATGTGAGAAATTGGGTAAGAAACATACATAATTTATTGAAACAAGTTTTTTTTATACTATTTTAAGTATTCAACATTGATTTGAAACAATTTTCTTACTAGAATACTTTGAAGCTATTATATGCAGTCATAAAGTTTCGCATGATTTGTACACACAATTGTTAACAACGTCAACAAGCAATAATTGCAAATTGTACGGTCACCAGTGGGATGGTAGCTACAATAGTGCTATGAAAATTTTTAATGATGTCAAAAATGACGAAGCTTGCATTGATTGCCCTCAAATGGGAATTAATGCCATTAACAGCATCCAAAGAGGAAAGTTTTTAGTACTTACTTCAGAACTGAAAAATGAGTGCGGTAATTTATTTAATTTAGTTAACTAAAAAATAGGTTTGTAACTATGCATAACAAAACGTATTTTTCACTTACTAATTTTTATGATTTATAGCTAGTTACAATGATCCTCTATATGTAAAAGAAGCTATTAAGGTTAGTTGTAATAAAAATAATTTTTACTTAAAATATTATATTAGAAAATATTTAATAAAAAAAACTATTTTTACAGAATTTAGAGTAGTAAATAAGAAAAAGTCATGAGCGGAAGCATTGCTTTTCACAGATAATATTATACTCTAAAATATAAATTATTGGATACTTAAAATTGTATTTAAAGTAAAAATGAATAAGTGACATTGTATTTACCTCTGTAAATTTAATTCTATAAATAAATAAATAAATTTACATGTTTGTTAATAAAATGTAATTTTCTTCTTAATTATTTATCCAATAAATGTTAGAAAATACTGGAAATTTCGTTACAAATTGAAATTGGTTTCTTTTTGTTTTACCACTTTTTAAAAATACGTTTATAAAGAGAGAAGAATTTTATATTTTGAATATGTTAAATTTAACCACAAAGAATGTAAATCTAGCACTGCAGCCAAGAAAATTTTTATTTAAAATAATTTTCAAAATTTTATCCCGTTTATTTTAATCTAACAACAAGATCAGCCATGAGCCGATATTATCAAGATTCTACGTTTAGTCTGGTAAAATTGTAAAAACCGGTAAAGTACTTTTATAGATAATCATTTTATTCGACAAGCATTACTCATGCATACGATAAGCTTGAAAGCCGTTAAGGAAACACAAGCACTTGAGTGATTTCATTTTAACCTTATGATAAAGTGTTAAGTTGAAAAAATGTTATTGACTACGGCATCAGTTTACTACGAACGTTCATCGAATAAACATGGTCGAAAAATTTGATAACTTTATTATCACCTTTTTCGTTGTGATAGTGTTGCCAAGCTTTAACGCCAGTACAAACGAAACAGAAAATGTAATTTGTTCAGATCTAAAAAATATACCATTTTTCGGATCGTTTCTTGTCTCTCATACCAACGTAAATCATAAAAGAATAGAAACTGAATATTACCTCTCGACTAGTTACGAAAAAAAACTCGTGAAAATTAATTTACATGATGATTGGACAGAGCTCGAAAAAAGTTGGTTTGATCCGACAGCCAAAACTTTTATTCTAATCCATGGATATCGGTCTGGAGGGAAAAAACCATGGGTTTTGGAGTTAAAAGAAAGACTTCTGAGTACTGTAAGTTTCACCGTAAAACAACGTTTATAATATAAAAAATAGCTTTCGTTCTTTGATATTGATTCATCAGAATATTATTAATTGTAGAGACAAGCTAACGTTATAATTGTTGATTGGAATAATGCTAGCCATACAAAAAATTATATTACAGCTGCGAAAAAAACAGAATTTATTAGTAATAAGATTTTTAAGTAAGTTTCAATCATAAATGAATTGATTTATTTTTCTGGTATTAAAAAAAAAAGCTCAGTGTTTTCTTAAAGTTTTTTGCAGAAACTAAAACCGAATGTTGAAAAATTGATTAATACATCTATCAATATTAAATGGAATCGTTTGCATTTTATTGGTCACAGTCTTGGTGCACACATTAGCGGACAAACAGCTCATATTTTAAAACAAGATCCGTTTTGGAAAGTTGAAAGAATCACTGGCTTAGATCCAGCAAAGCCCTGCTTCGTTGGCGTCAAACCAAACCTCAGAATCGATAAGGATAATGCAAATTTCGTTGACATCATACATACACAAGTGGGTACTGGAATTAGTGGCTTTGGCATAAAAGAAAACATAGGTTTGTAACTATGTGTAGATACCACTTAAAAAAGACAAACCAGCTCTAGTTTGCCTTATTTGTAATAAAATTGAAAAATTTGAGTTGATTGTATTCGTTAATCCAGAATGTGGGATTTAAACCAAAATTATCGTAGCAATGAATATCAATGCTTATTTACAGGTCATACAGATTTTTACGTCAACGGTGGTGTTGCTCAACCACAATGTCTCGGTTCAGGTATGATAGATGTCATCAATAAGATTATTTTTATTTTTATTACCACACGTTATAATTTGCACTATACCATTTATTAGTTTTGACTCCAAAATGGAAAACCGTTATCTGTAGCCACAAGTCATCTGTTAAATATTTTATTGACTCAATAGTCGATTTACAAAATGACACGTGCTTATTCGAAGGTTACGAATGGGACAAAACTTATAACGATGCACTGAGAATTTTGAACGAAAAAATGGGCGGCCAACCGTGCGAAAATTGTCCAAAAATGGGTATCAATGCTAACGTAAGCAAAAAAAGAGGAAACTTTTTGGTGATTACGTCACTTCATGAGCCGTACTGTCGTAAGCTGAAACTATTCACGTAGAGCGCATATGCTATGGATTAAAAAAAAAAAGTCACTAATTAGATTTATTTTTATTATTTTTTTTAGGTTTCGATAAAAACGATTACAAAAAATTATCTAGTATTTTGAAGGTTAGTAAATTTTTCGAAAATTCATAATATAATTGTTACTTATAACTATTAACGAAAACTTTTCTTTTGCAGAGGATTAAATATTAAACGATATCATGAAGAGTGACTGAACAATTTTGTAGAAAATTTGTATGAAATATAGTCAACATTTGGTGATTTCTAATGATTTTCTAACTTAATTTAAACCCGTTTTTTTGCGTACATCTCCAAAAAAATTAGAGAAACCGAAGAAAATAATTTTTCCAACAAAAGATCGACGATCTCGCAAACTCACGCTGGTGTATGTTATAAGCGCAAGCTTCTCCTATATCACTCGGCTAGACTCTCCTTTCCTCCACAAAATCTACGACTTTCTCACAGGTAAGCCCTCACCCATACACGCACACTCTATTTTTTTTTTTTACAAAAGCAACCAGCCATTAGACAGGAGATACATTTTCTTCGCTGCTACAAGCAGTGCCACAACGAAGAGTTCAACCACCTTGGATTTCAGTCGAGAGATTGCGAGCCAAGATTTGGCATTGTTCCGCCCTTCGACTAACGCTCGTGATGTAGGTATGTACACACGTGTGCTCTTCTTCCTTGTGAATTTGCGCCTGGACTCCTACCACCAGTACTACGTCTGTGTATGTGGTCAGCTGTGTGTTTATTTTTTTTTTATACTGTGTACGTTATTTTAATTTTTTGTGCATACACACCGAAAACGCAACAAAATTAGGTTAAATGAAATAGTAAATTACACTAGATAACCAGATAATTTGAGAGTATTGAATTAAACCATTAGTTATTTGTAACAATAACTACTCTATTCGTTTAACTATTTAATCAAAAATTGTGTGAAACTACATACTCTTAGGGTACTAACTTCTCAAGAATGCAAGGAATAAAAAGAGGTAAAGAAAAATGTGTCATTAAAGGATGTAATTAGAGAAAAAAGACAGCAGAAAAATAAAGAAGAAAAATAGTAACATGGTCACTTGGGAGAAATGAGAAAAAAAAAAAAGAGACGTGACACCATAAGTGTCTCATAGTGTCTGTCGCTGTAATATCCTTTTAGTCTCTCAGAGCTAATTTATTTCTACTTCAGACCTTATTACAATGCACCACCCAGATTTCGTTGAAATTTATTGCTGCTTCTATATCGAGCTATCTAATACGCAGAGTCATGTACTCGAAAGTGGGATTATAGTACAGAGAAATAATTGCATGTTCCACAATAACTTGTGTTCCTTCTGAATTATCGTGTGCACATATATTTATAACATTGTGACCATCCATAGAGGTAAAAAAGAAAAATCCAAGTGTTTGCACAGTCATAAAAGTAGCAGTCACCAAGCAGTGTTATTTACCTAAAGTTTTCACGTAAAAAGTCAAGGCATGTAATTCTCAGTGTCTAAGCCACGATAAAATTAGAACTCAGATATGAGAAGTTCAGAGGATTTGCGAAGTTTGCAAGAAAGTTCATCATTATAATCAAGGGCTAAGCTTGTGTACTTGAAAAAGCTTTGGTTCTTCAAAAATACAAATAAAATCTCCTGAAATGTAAAAAAAACAACAAGGATTGCACCTGAACTGTTTGAAGTCGAGAAACGAAGATGTAATTTCTTTTCGGTCATCCTAACGAGCTCCTTTCGCCAGTGAGGAAATAATGCGGGTGGCTCTCACTGCGAGTTCTCACGGACAGCTCTAATGAATTCCAACGGAAAACGGTCGTACATGAGAGGAGATCCGTGAAGCGCACCAAATAAAAATGGTGATTGCGATTTAAAAACGTGCTTGCATCTCGTTGTTCGGCTCAAAGAAAAAAGTAATTCTGAGAAAAGGAGATAACGGAAGGGTATGGCGTGTAAATAAAGCTGCGTAAAAGTGCAAAACGAGCGATGCTACGGTGCCAAAGAAGAATTTTTGTGAATAAAATCAGACGAAAAGGCCCTTAATTAGCTCCCACCGTACAAGCTATTGTGCGAAAAAAAAAAATCGATAAATTAGAAAAATTCAGGGAGGTTTTTCATCCGATATTTAATCCCACGATAAAGCTAAAAGCCCGCTAACGCGCGTGTCGTAAATCCCGAGGGTGTGAAAACAGGCCAGCGTGATATAATCCCCCGGAATGGCAAAACAGCATCAGAAAGAGACTGAGAAATGCATCGCCCATAATTAAGGAGCGACGCTGCTGATGGTGCACGGCTCGCAGACTCCTCGGTTATGTATCGTTTCGCATTAACTGTGTATAAATAAAACATGCGCGCCGAGGTACGATTAATGCAGGCGCGCATCCGACGATAATGAAAAGGTTCATCGGGTGCTAGACTCGGCTGATACGCTCCTCATCGAGGCTTCACTGGTTACGGAGAAAAGGCACATCGAAGATTCATCGCGTCGATCGAGTCCTCGCCCGATTTTCTTCCCTCGGGTGCGCTTTGTTTGTTTTCGGTGGCTTCAATTGGGTTTTAATATTCGGAAGTTACATTCGAGATTTCTTCATTATTATTTAAAAGAGGGTACAATGCATCGGTTGTAATGGCCATAGAAGCTTCCTTCGTTCCCGGAGCTACGAGTACAAACTTAATTGCCGTGTAATGAAAGCGGCGCTTCCTCCGTACCTCCGGAGAAATGAAATCCCTATCCGATGGCCGGGGATGTGCGGCTCCGAACCCCCCGAGCTTTAATAATCGCTTTCGCTCCTCCTCCGCCCCATCCGACTGTTTCTTGCCGTCTTACGCGAGCACTAATCGTGTGCTTTGCGCGAATTAATTAATCCACGACTGGGGGTGGAAAACTCGCGTGAATGATGGCTGCTTTGCACGCGGAAGAAACATTTGATTCATCACAATGATACATTTAATTGTCAATACTTTTTTTTTTTTTTTTTTTTTTTTTTTACGAAAGTCATTCGAGCCCAAAAGGTTCCTTCAGCGAGTGAAAAAAGTATATCTTCAAGCCGCGTCCCACAGCGGGCTCTTGAAAAACTAATAACTTTATATCTCGCGTCCCACATCTTTGCGGCTAAGAGACCCATTAAATATATTCTTAATAAAAAGCTCGCAGTGTATGCATGCAACCATCTCACCGCAACTGAATGGCCTCCATTCACCTCTTTTACCCTCGCACAACAGGAAAAAAAAACTCCCCCCGTACGTCCCACATCTTATTAAGAATGCCATTTCAAAAGTCCTGCAGTAGTCGAGAGCTCGAATAGGCATTCACTGGTGCTCGCAGTCGGAGGAGATTTTTTTTCCCTCTTTAATATTTTCTTTTTGCGCTCGTGAAGGAAGAAAAAAAAAAGGCTTCGGGATGCGAGATAAAGATGAATGAGAATGTGAAAATTCCGAGGTTGCCCCTAAAAATGTACGTCTTTCGGTAGGGGTAGTTTATACGCCGGGCCCTGCGTTGACTCGCACTACTGTACGATCCATGGGATGGTTAAATCGAGCTGGCTTTTTTCTCTTCACCCCCGTGTTCCAACTCTTTTTACTAATACTCGCCCACCGGCCTTTTAAACATTTACAAGTTTGCCGGCAAAAAGCCGATGCGGCAAAGCCACTTTGTTATTCGACCTCTGAGCCAAGCCGTACGTATTTATCTTCTGTATAACGCGTTCTCCTTTTTAGCTTCCAAACGATTCCAAAACATATTCTCTACGCGTAGCGACTTCTTATTACTAAGGTTTTTTTTTTAACGCAATTTTTAAAGACGATAAGGCTCTCGGACAAAAATGCAGCCTCTACCGAATTGACTCGGTTTCTCTTCTCATCCGATGACAAAAAAAAAAGGTATTTAAAACCCAACACTCGTTGCAAACTACCAAAAGCTCACGAGCCGCGAAGCTCTGCCGCCAATTCGACAATCGCGCGATCCGAGATTATCCGTTACATCGCCGTCCTACATATACATATATATTACTCGTTGCTCGGACAAATCGATCGTCCGCTCAGCCAGCTGCTCTTGGACGGACAGCTTTACGAGGGTGCGATCGCGTTTAAATTTCCAAGCCACTGGTGTATATGGCGGAGATCGTGCATGGGTTGTGATTTTGCACTCGATCGTTGGTCTGCGGGTTATTAGTGGTAAGTTAAGGGCTCGTAAAGTGCGATAAACATATGGACGTGGACTCGTGTGTTTACGCACGCAGGGGTGTCTCTCGTTTTCTTCACGGAGATTTAGAGTACCCGTTTAGCCCCAAGCCCGCGCGACTTGGAAAGAAAAACACTGACGCTTTGTTCTTTTGTCAAGATTTTCACACGAAAATTAAAACGGAGTCAAGGAGCGTGAAGAAAAAAATACCCTTAAAAACTGTACAATGGCCCGTGAATAATTGAGAAGGAAACAAAAAAAAAAAAGACCCTCCACGCCATAGTCCCTTTGTGCGACAATAACGTTCCGAAAGTGCAAATTCCAAGACACTCGGTAATGAGCCAGCAGAGAAGAATAAGCGAGAACGCCGGAGAAGAAGAAGAAGAAGAAGCCCCGACGTATGCAATATTCAAGAGGAGCCTGCACGTGAGGCAACGACTGTAGTCGGAGGAGCGAGTTCACGGTGTGCACTGATTGCGTAACGGCGCAGAAACAAGCAAGAAAACGAGCTGGTTACACGCGTTAGCTACGTGGATGCGTGTGAGCCCTACGCCCCTTTGTAAGAAAATGGCTGTGTCACCTCTGTCGCGCCCTTTTGCCCGGGTACAAGGACTCGCCGCGTTTGTCCTTTCGTGAAAATTTTGAGGGAACTCGCGCGCAGACGCTTTTCCTCCCCTTACTCAGCTGTGCTAGGGTCTTTGTGCTGTTTTAATCGACGCGGAAGATCCCGGTATGATGGTGTGCTACTCTTTTCAGTGTACTATACAATCTCAGCATCGAGCTTTAAAAACTCGCGACCTAAAGTGCGAAACTGCA